GCTAAATAATCCAAGAGGCCGATAGAGGCCACACCAGGCTGCTAAGGGGCCAGCCAACCCCATTTTTGATATCCTCCCTCCCTGCCCCAGGCCAGATGGCAGAGGAATTTATTGTTCTAAACATGTTTCCTGGGACAAGGGAAGAGCAGTAACTCGTATAGAAACCCAATATAGAACTCCTTCCAAGAACAGGTAATGTTAGTATATCCGTACATCACAGCTGGTGCAAAGTAGGGGCTGCTGCATTTTGTAGAGACCCCAATGCGAACAAGTAGAACTGGAACATGAAATCCTGCAGAGATGCATCAGGAAGGCAGACTCGGAGTTCAGAAGAGCCTTAAACAAGTTTAGTTTTATGAACTCACTCCAGGGTATGCAACTTGCCGTTTCCAGAGATTGTTGGGTTACAGTTCCCCAAATGCTGGCATGTTGGCAACTCTGTAAAGCAGCTGTGCCTTTTCCTGTGGTTGCATGGCAGTTGCAGAAGGCAGAGGCATGATCTTGGGGAGGGGGCTACAGAGGAACAGAAGTACAAGGAGTTGTGGATGGGTTGTGGCATTGTGACCTCTGCTTGCTCCAAAGCACCTTTTTTGAAACTGACCCCACACAGTTGCCCAGTCCTAGAGGAGAATCCGTGAAGAAGACACTGCTAGCACCATATCTTCCCCACCATTCTTAAGGTGGTTCAGTATTTGAAATGATCAAATAGATGGACGTTATTCATTCCAAGCTGTAAAACATGAAGATTGAGAGCTGGCCATCTTTTTGGAATTTCTTCCCCAGTGCGAGATGCACAGATTGTATGTTGCTTTTATGATCTCCGACTTGTTACTGTTAATTTTGCCTAAGAAATAAACAAGCTATCCCTGTTATGACCCCTAACCAGGATTGCACTCAATATAACAGAATTGACAGAAAAGAGAATAAAATACGAGGACTAGAATGCTAAATGTAAAATTAAGTCATTAAATTATAAAATTGCTTTGTGAATAATATATTCAAATCTTAAACTAAGTTTCCAAAATACTGAATACATGAAATACTTCAGAATTCCCAAAAGTGGAATATTAAGGTATAAGGCATGGTCAAAAAGCAAAGAACAGTGACGTTCTCTTGTGAAATAGAATAACATATTATAAACATTTAAATAGGATTGCCAGGTTACATCATTCGTTTCTAGTCAGATTGAATAACTGTCATGTTTCCCTATCTGTTTCCTAATACTTTTTTTTTTCCTGTGCCTTCGAGTCAGTGTTGACTCCTGGTCGCATTCTGTTCTATCTGCAGAGAATTATCCTGCTGATAGTCAATTTATTTTGATGTAGAGCTTTTGAGAGCCTTAATCTGTTCCATTACAATATATACATAAAACATTACCTTAATTTTTGTGAGTATGTGTGTGTGTGCGCCTTTGAGTCAGTGTTGACTCCTGACAACTGCCTGGAGAAGTCCCTGCAGTTTTCTTAGCAAGAATTTCAGAAGTGGTTTGCCATTGCCTCCTTCCTAGGGCTGAGAGAGGGTGACTGGCCCAAGGTCACTCAGCTGGCTTCATGCCTAAGCCAATACTGGAACTCATGGTCCCCAGGTTTCTAGCCTAGTGTCTTAAGCACTACATCAGACAGGCTCTCCTACTTTTTAACCCTTTTAATTTAATTAATTTAATTTAATTAATTGGTACCTTTTAATTTTACACGCACATGCTGTGTTAAAATATTTTTTTTACTACTCGGCCTGCAGCTCTTACTTTTATTTCCCACTTGAATCAATTCCATATTATAATGTGTTGGCTTTGTTGGTATTTGAATTATTGTTCAGTTTTTATTGTGCAATTTTAATGGACTGTAAGCCTCCCTGGGGAAATTTGGTTTTGAAGGGCAATGTGTACAATTTAAGAATAAATGAATAATTGGTCCAAAAAAATTTTTTTTTCAGTATTTTAGGAGGTTCCCCCATATAGTTTTATGGACTGTGCCATTGATTTTAGTGGCAAATAATGGAGAAGAAATGGATTGCAGTGATAAGGAAGTGGTGATGGTGATTTGTGTGTGTGCAGGCACATTTTAACTTTCTGTCTCTTAAAATCTCTAAATGTGGTAAAGATTTGGTTTGCTTTTTCTGCTTTTGTTTTTCTTTCTTCCTTTTTTTTATGCCAACCAAAATC